TATATATATATGTATGTATGTATATGTATATATATAAAACTAGTATGAACATCAAAGATCCAGGGAAAGCTGTCATCTTGCTCTTGAAAGAGCAATTCTGGAAGGATATCCATCCTTAAAGAGAGAAATGTGACAAATAAAATCTCCTTTTTTAGAAAAGGGATAAATGTTTCTAATTTAGACCTGAGTTAACAGATGAATAATTTATTAATTTTGAAGGTAATTCATGTAGCTTGGGAATAAAATGTATTAACTTAGCAGTTCTTACCCAATGAGCATCTTGATCCATTGGTATGCTGAATTCAGTTTTACGTGTGGCATGTGTCTGATAATTTATTGCTAATATGTATAAAAGTATTAGAGTTTGAAATTTTATTTATTTAACAAATGAGACAAATTGAAGATTAGCACTATATTTCTCTTTGGGACAAGTCTTGTTCTAAGAATTCCAAGATACCATCCTGAGTAGGAGAGAAAGGAATCAAGTGACAACCAACTGAATCTGTCATAGTCCATAGCAACCTACCTTACATATGTATTGTAAATAATTGTGACAATTACAAATTATTTTAATGCTTTTCATTCTTTTTCTTTTCATTTTTTAAAAATTAAAGTATTGTTGATATACAACCTTATGTTGGTTTCAAATATACAACACAGTGGTTCAACAGTTACCCATATTATATCTTCATCCCCTCTAGTGCAGTTACTATCTATCATCATAGTAAGATGATACAGAATCATTGACTATATTCTCCATGCTGTACTACCCTCCCCTTGACCAATTTACATTGTGATTGCAAATTTTTGTGCTCCTTTATCCCCTTCACCCTCCCTCCCCCACACACTCCAAACCCCTCCCCTTTGGTAACCACTAGTTCTTTCTCAGTATCTGTGAATCTACTGTTATTTTGTTCATTCTATTTTGCTTCATTTTCATACTCCACAAATAAGTGAAATCATACGGTATTTGTCTTTCTCTGCCTGGCTTATTTCACTGAGCATAATACCCTCTAGATCCATCTATGTTGTTGCAAATGGCAGGATTTGTTTTTCTTGTTATGGCTGAATAATATTCCATTTGTATATGTACCACATCTTCTTTGTCCATTCATCTATTGACGGACACTTAGGTTGCTTCCATATTCTGGCTATTGCAAATAGCACAATGTGCTTTACATTCTTGCAGTCATTCTGGGGTTTCATCAAGATGTATGTTTGCTTCTAAGGTTGTGCTCTGCAAGGGCCTAGAATCCATTATGTGTGTTACAGTGGGGAAAAAATATTGGGAAACATTGGGCTAGAACAGGTTTTAATAAACCCCTGCAAGGGCTGCCCTGGCCCTGATTCTTTGTGTCTATCAGAACTAATTTGAAAGTGATAATCCAAATAGACTTAAACAAAAATGGTAATCTGTTGACTATTATAACTGAAAGGTCCAGGGTTAGAGCTGACCTCAAACATGGCTGGAATCAGAGGTCAAATGTTCTCCATCTCTTAGCTCTGCTCGCCTTCATATTGACTTTATTCTCAGACCACATGGTGGCAAGATGGCTATCAGCAAATCTATTGTGCATCCCCTGGGACTCAAGTCCAGTGGGAAAGAGAGCCTGTTTTCTAGAAGATCCCTCAAAAGTATGCTGGGATTCAATCTGATCTACCTTTGAATCAGCTAATCACTGTTACCAGCAGGACACCACATGCTGATTGCCTTAGACATGGATCACATGCTCCACCTCTGGATGGGAATTGTGAAGGTCCAATTGGACCACGTGGGTAGAGTGTGGAGGGAAAGAAACCCTTCCAAATCAAAATGGACCTATTACAGACAGTGGATGCTGGAAAGGTCTTCAACGAATACCCACTCCACCCCAAACAACCATCTTGAAAATGCCCAGAAAAAATACAGGTGGAAGAAAATGTCTGGTCAAGGACCAATTTAGCCTCAGGAGTTGAAAGATAAAACCCACTATTTCTTGAAAAAATAAGTAATGTATAACAAGGTACCACAGGTGGTAAAAAATCACTACTAATTCAGGGAGCCCAGGCAAACTTTCTCTTTGATAGAAAACTTCTCAGAAAGTACGTGTCACAATGCCCCTTCCTACATGCATCACTGAATGTCTGGTCTTGGAACATTACTTCCCCATTGTCTCTTAGCCGGGTCTCACCTTTGTCCCTTTCCCCAGGTATGTTTTGCTTGATCACAGCTTTCCCTCTTGTGTTAAAGGAGATATATGGCTTTCTGGTAGTATCATTTAGGAATGCATTCTATAATATAATAGAAAACCCTAGCATTGGTTAAAGCAGATGGTGATGGTGGGATTGTCTTTTACAACAGGAAGCTTAGAAGGAAGGCAGTTGAGAGCTGATATGGTGACTCAGCAATGCTATCAGGAGCACAGGCTATTTATATATTCCCAACCCTAAATCCTTAGCATATCCACCTTCGTTATCAGGCTCACCTCTCATGTTGCAAGATGGCTTATGTTCATATTCCAGCCAGAAAGGAGAAAGGTGAAGGCTTTATATGAGGACTTGCCTTTTTATTTGAGAAGTATTCAATGATAAATTTTTGAAAGAATAAAAGCATGACTCTTATCTAATTATAAAATAAACACATGTCAAAGATTTCACTCATTAATAAGGGGATCAGTAAGATGTTAAAACCAATGCAAAGGAAAATTTAAAAAAACATACATAGGCAGTCGTATATACATACATATGCAATCAGGAATATTGAAATGAATTTACAAATAGATGGAAAACAAGTCAACAGGCAAATAATCGATCCACCAATACAATTTATTTGCATTTTGGACAAGAGCCAATTGCGTTGCTATTAGTTTTCTACAACTTACAAAATTACAGAATAGTTCAAAGACAATGAAAGATGGAGATGACATCACAGAGAATGACAGGACACCCATTATTTTTTTTGTTCATTTAAAAATCTTTCACAGTGTTTCTCGAAAGGACACCCTCCTCCGCATCTGTGTCACATGGCCACCTTTACTGCAAAGGAGGCTAGGAAATCAAGTGTCTTTAGCTGGACACACCACTGTCTCAGGTGAAGTAAGATTCTGTCAATAAGAAAGTCTACCTCACCTATAACCCTAGTTGATGTGTTAAGTGTGCTGATTATTTAATAATTCTTAGCACCTGTGAGTATGTGGATGGCTGTAGTGAACGTCTGCTGTGTTTTGATAATTTGGCATCATTCCTTCTTCTGGTCAGAGTGCCTCAAACTTTTTTTGGGAAGTACTCTGTCTGTATTCTCCAAACCCAGCTCCAAAGGCAAACACTTGACTTAAGCTCTTATTATTAGTTATGGTGATTGATTTAGCAGTGGACACAACTGGAACAAGGTCAATCAGATTTAACTTTTGAATGACCTTCATTAGAATCAAACTGGGACTTATACTAAAAATAGCAAAACAAAATTAAGTTTGAAATATATTTAGTCAATTTATTATTGACAATGCTTGGTGCACGAGTGGATTTCTATATCCTTTGCAATAATTCCCCTGCCTCTCAAAGAGTCTGTGGCTTCCTGGTGAGAAGCCACTGGAATGTTTATTTAATTCGGGGTTCCTCCAGTTAGTACTTGAGAGCTGACAGGCTGTGATGTGTGCTAGGAAGTGCAGTGTCAGGCAGAGTCTACACCAAAAACAGAACTCCAGTTAAATATTTAAAGCAGAGGAAAATTTCATTCAGGGCACAGGGGCTGGCACATAGTGGTGACCCCAAGAACGTTTTGTGGAATGAATCCACCTGGACTCTATATGACATCTATATCCTCAAATGAGCAAGTTCTTGGCACACAGTGGGAGGTGGGTATCAATAAATAGAAACTTTTATTATTAGAATTGGAAGGTATTACTATAATCAAACACGTTTGGAAACAATCTTATACAAATGTCGTGTAGAACTGACTCTTTCGTGAGGAGGGAAACTCTTTTGAGAAAGATATCAAAGTGGAGGCTACATGGCCTGGTGAGAAAGATTATGCCAGATGGCTGCATGCAGACGAAAAGTAAGTGTGAGCAGAAAATTTAAGGGTTAGTGGTAGCCAATCAAATTGGCAGGGAAAGAGTGTAACGAGGGGTGACGATAAAAAGAAAAAAAACACCTCCATCACCTACAAACCACTTTCTGTCCTCAAATCCCTAACCTCATAGCCCTGCCGGTGTTGTAATGTTACTCCCATTTCACAGATGGGACTCAGGCAGAGCACGGAAATGAAAGGATTTTTCCCAAATGGAACAGCTAGACGGAAGCAAAATTAAGGCATACCCCTGGTCGTTAATGTCTACCAGGCTTCAGACTCCAGAGAGAAAATTTGAGATAGGAAATGTTAATGCCAATTTGCCACCCATATACGGCTGGGTTAAACACAAGAAAGGTGATATGGAAACAGGGTGGTGAATTGTGGGCAAAGAGAACAATTTAAATAGCGTTGATATTATCTTTTCAAGAATAATTCCGCCAGTGTGGGGAACGGTGTCTCAACGAAATCAAACGCCTTTTCCAGGTGCAATCTCCCCGCTGAGAAGTAACTTAGCCAACACCGGGAAGTGAGTCGGGCTGCAGGATGCACCCCAGACCCCGCGACAACATTCCCGAGCTCATCCCTGGGGAGTCATTGCTGACTCAGAGGCACGTCGCCGCGCTCCCAGCGGCTCCAGCTTCCAGCAGCTCCTCCTCCCCGCGTTCCCACGGGTAACGAGCACCACCTACCGGCCGCCCGCCTCTCAGTGGCTTGGCCCCGCCCCCGCACGAAACGCGCATGCCCCTCGCCTCCTTCCCTGTTCGTCCCCGCCTTCAGGTTTCTCGCGACAGCCGCCGGGCTGTGGCCTGAATCTCGCGATAAAGGCTTATTGTCTCGCGGGACTGCGTCTGGCAGACGGCTCCGGGCGGCCCTGGCCGTAGAAGAGTTGCATGTGTCGCTTCAGCTGGCGGTAGTGGCGGGAGTGGAGGAGGCGGGGGCTGTGTGACCGCCTGGGTAACGACCCCTCGTGCCTCTCCCGCTTTCGAGAAACTCGTAGAGAACGTGGGGGAAGGCGAGGTGCTGCCCGGCGGAAGGGGGCCGGGCCGGGCGTCTCCACACCCCCGCCCACATGGGCCCCTCTGTGTCTCCAGGATAGCCCCTTCTCCTGGGATCTTCCTCATCACACCGGGCCGCCCTTGTCGCCGCAGTGCGCCTACATCCTGCCCCTTCCTCGTTCTTTTGCTCCCATTTTCTCTCCTCAGGTTCTGGTCTCCCCGCCCCCTCCCTCTTCCATCAATTTTCCTGACTCGTGTGTTCCTCCCCGGGTATTTAACTGTCCGCCTACCCTGCATTCTGGGCACTTCTGGTGACCCACCTCTTCTTTGTAGGCTTTTCCAGCCGCTTTTTTCCAGCTGTTTTGTGGCCTTTCTCTGTTGCTGCAGTTTGCATCTCTCCCAGATCACTGACGGACCTTTTGCGCCCTATCCATTTAAGTCATCCTCCTCATCCTTTTATCCCATTGCTTCGTCTTTCACTAGTGCCCTCGGTCCCCTATTCTTCATGGTCCATTTGCTACGAGTTCTCACTGCCACTTTCTTCCCTGTAAACCTATGGACCTGGTGAATGGTATGCTCAGAATTGCTCATATTTTATGAATCCTCATGCAACTTGTATTCTTCACTTAACAACAGAGAATTGAAACATATTTGGGGTGGAGGTTGAAATCCAGCTGGGGAAAGCAAGACACGCTGCTTCTCTGGGGTCTTCGTCCAAAATAGTGAAAAAATGTTTATTTTCGTTGCTTACAGGTTGTGAGATGGCTGCTGATTTTTCTGAATCCAGTGGACATGACTGCAGAGGAGACCTGAGGAGCAATACCAAGTTAGATACAGATTACCCACTTCGAGTCCTTTACTGTGGAGGCAAGACAGAAAATGACTTTTACTCACCGTACTTTTGTGCATTGTGATAATAGTTTCACATCTGGCCCTAGTAATCCCTCTTTCAGTTGTCTTTGTCATTTGGTAAATCTTTAATTGGGAGTTGGGGAGATGATGAAGAGGAGGCATGGGTTAACAGATTTTCTAAGCCTGTGTGACATGGGTCTTGCCACTTGGTCTGAGAAAGCTTCAGTCCAGTTGAAATAGAGACATGAAATAGATTATTTCAGCCTAATGATGCTTGCTAGTCTGTCTGTTAAAGGAGGGCTTCTTGGAAGATACTGAGTCTTAAGTGATGACAAGGACTGGATGAGTAAGTAGGTAAGAGCATCCCAGGCAAGTGAACAGCTGTGCATGAAAAAGCTTGATGTGTCTCTTCAGAGAAAGGAGCTTTATGGGGAGGGGGCCAGTAAGGAGTGGAGGATGATGAGGTTGGAGTGATGTGTAGAGGACAGTCTTGAGTATGAGCTCTTGGCTTGATTAATAATATATCTATTAGATTATATTTGAATCAGGTTTTTTGCCCTTGAGTATTTTTCCTCATTTTACATTGTCATTTCAGTACAGAAATATTTGTGAATTGGAAATGCTCTAATTTTATTAGCATCTTAGTTTCAGAAAAATTCGAAGACGAGAGTAAAAGGGCAAGTAAATAATATATTTTTTTCAGTAAATATTTTTGACCACTTACTGTGTGCCTAGAATGTTTTAGGTGCTAGGGACTGAGTAGTGAAAAAGGCAGAAAAGGTTCCTGTTCTCATGGAAACTTACTTGCTATGAGTGTAGTAGAGACCTCATCGGGAGTTTTAGTACTGTAGGAGTGGTGATGTCACCGAATTAAAAAGTTGTATCAACTCATCATCTGTTGAATATTTTTGATAGTAAAATAAAATTAACATAACATATCTTAGTGAAAGAGTAGGCAGGGTAACTTTTTGTTGAGTTGATTGGGTTTTGTTATGATACCGGTCTTACTTGATTATACTGTTTGCCTTTGGGGTCATGGACCAGGATTTGCATCCTGACTCTAGCATTACCAGCTGTATGATCTTGGGCAAGTTACTGGATTTCACTAAGGGTTAGAAATCTGTTCCTTCATGTCTGTAAAGTGAAGCTGATGATTAAGTCAGATGAATTATATGAACCTCCTGGTACAAGAAGCAGTTAGCACAAGAACATAGCACAGTAACTGCTATTATCGTCAGAAAAACGTACTCGTTTAGTGTGGTGTATTCATCCTTATTTATCAGGTGTAGTGAAGATCTATTGTTCTTTGTACTCTAGTTCATCAAATCTAAGATGCCATATTTTATAAAATGCACTATTATTTTAGGTTCTGCTAAGAAAGAAAAAGTTACCAGATTGACATGCTGTAATGTAAGGTACATCCCTGTAAAAATGAAAAAAAATTAGAATTGGTGGAATATCATATATGAAAATCATACTGTTGAATTATGTCACTCTTAAGGTAGCTTTTGAACAATTGCACTAAGTATGCAGTTTAAGCCTTTTTGAGGAAGGTTAACTTTCATTTCTCTCCCTAACTTGTATTGATATTCCAGGAACTAGGATGGGGATAGGGTTACTTTTTCCTCAAGGAGGTTAAGGTATATCTGTATAAGAAGCACTTCTGGAGTATGAAATGCTAAGCTAAATGGTACTAATTTAGGAATTAAATGGTACTGAATTGGGAATTCAGGAAAGGGAGGGGTCTTTGTTCAGAGGGAAGTAGGGAAATTTCCAAGGAAGTGAAAACCTTAGGTAACAGAATTTTCAAGAAAAGGTTAGGGAGTTCATAAGAGCAATATGCTGGCAAGATTTAGTGTATCTCCTGGGGAGAAGGAACAGAAAGGGCTAATTGGAGCAGAATGCTGGTTCAAGTATAATGAGAAGCAAGAGTAGGTAGGCTGGGGTCATTTTCAGGGAAATATTTTGTCTCAGAAGTGAGACTTCAGACTCTGAAGTCAATTTGAGTTTGAATTCTGGCTTGGTCATTTACTCACTGTGTGACCTTGGCCAGTTCCCTCATCCATGAAATGGAGAAAGTAGAGCCTCTTTCAGAGGGCAGTTGAGAAGAACAAAAGAAATAATTCTCCCCAAAGCCCCACCTCTTAATACCATCACATTGGGCACAAAAGATTTCAACATACAGATTACTAGGGGATGCCAACATTCAGACCATAGCAGGTTTCCTTGATGATGACGCTCTGTTCTTCATGTTGAGTTCCATCAGCAGTACATGATGTTCAGGTTGTTCCAGCATTGGTGACATGAAGTTTGAAGGTAGCTGCTAGATCTTGTGTTGAAAAGCTAAGTTTGCAAAGAGTTGAGTGATCTGTGGGGGGAAATTGACTTTAAAAACAAATAACGGGGGGAAAATGTAGTAACCACATGTTGCTCATGTGAAATCTGAGCATAAGATTGTATATCAGTGATACCTTAATAAATAAAAAAACAACAACAAATAATGGTGAGCTTGGAAGAAGTGTCCAAATTTTTCTCATTCAAATTTTGCTGGATTGAATATTATTTGAAATGGTATAAAAAGCTTTAAAGCATCAGTATTTGCTGTAGTGATATTTAACCTATAATTATATCTGGAAAGTGTGACTGAATATCTGTACCTAGTGGTTTTTGAACTTGAACTGTGGGGATTAAAGAGCTCTGATTAATCAGGGAGAAGTTCACAGTGGAAAGAACTCACAACTTGACATAGACACTAGATTCCAGTTTTTTTCTGCCACATACCACCTTTGTCATTGGGTGAGCTATTTAACCTTTCTTAGGGCTTCATCTATAGAACAGTGATGGTGGGGGCTGAAGAAAACGCAGATCACTGTCACCTGGCTGGCACACAGCTGCAGTGCCTGTTGTGTAATCTGATTTAGTGGTTAAAAGCGTGAGCTTCAGAAACAGACCAGGGTTCAAATCCTGCTCTGTCAGCCAGCTGCAAGTAGATTACTTATTCTAAGTCTCATTTTTCTCATCTGTAATACAGATGTGGAAATTCTTACCTTGAAGGGTTGTGTTGATTAAACAGAATGATGGGTACAAAGCATAGCAAAGTGCCTGGCACATAATAGGTGCCCAAAGTATGGTAATTGGTGTTAATGGTAATGGTGTATCACCCTTCCTCTCCCTTGCAAATCTCAGGATGTTGGGCACATGGAACTACTCCATTCTTCACCTTAAAAATAAAAAGAAAATAAGCAGTTTGCCCAGTAATAGGATTATAGTTAAAATCAGGAAACCCCTTGTGTTCTAGTCCCTTAGCCTGTGCAGGCTATACAGTGCCAAGGCTGAACTAATGTTCCTTCTAGCCTTATGGTTTCATGCTCTTACATAGCACAATATGAAAAAGAAAAGAAAAAGTACATTGTATAGAAATGGTAACATAAGTGCTGCTGAAGTCTGTAAATGTGTTAGTTTGAATAAAAAATAGTGGCTATTTTGGTAAAGCTCTCAAAAGAAATAACCAGCCCTGTTGTAAGGGGAATTATTCCCATCTTAATTTCAGACCTGTGAGACAGTATAGTTTGATGTTCCATCAACCGAAGGATACATTGTTTAGATTAAAAAAAGAAAATCAAAATATTTTTATTAGCCATGTGCTTTTTACCTCAAAAGAAAGAAAAAAGCATGCTGGGTAGCATTTGAAAAATAGTGCAGAAAATTTATAGGAAAAAGCAATGAAGCATTTTGCTAAATTTAAAAGAAAAGTTATAATGAGCCTTGGGTGTGTATATAATTTATATTTTCCATCTTTTTTTCTCTCCATCTCTCCAGTCTGTTCATTACCAACAGAGGTAAGTCCTTTTAACATTCTGTTCTCTTTAACTTCTGCATTTGAGGTCATTGGTTTTAGAGCTAACCTGAGAACTTTCTCTTATTTTTCTTTTTCTATCATTTGATAGTAGAATTTTAATCTTTTATAGAGAACTTTGGTTTAGAATAATTTTGTGGTCTCAGAAATTGTTTTGTTTTGATTTTGAGTCACCTGTGTACATCTTTTTCACTTCGCTGTAGAGTTTAGATTTTTACATGAACTCATGAATAGTCAGCTAATAAAACAAGAGTAACCTTAAAGCCAAAATTTAACATCCAGGCAGAGGAGAGAAAGCATAAATGAAATTATGTGTAAGACTTTCTGTTAATAAGCTTCTCAGGCCCTGCAGGCAAGTCATGAAAATACTGAGAAACCTGTGTACGCAAAGCAAGGAATAGACGTGCTTGTTTTGTCTGCTCATTTTTCTAATGTTTGATGGAGAGGAAATGCTTTACTACAGTGAGGAGGTACCTACTCCTTTTTAATTTCTAATTTCTTACGGGGTGTTTCCTGGCTGAATATAGATTTTCTGTGGCTAAGATGTCAGGTGGGAGTAGTCAGTTTTATTATTCTAAATATAGGGAATGATTTTAATTAAAGTGTATTAGTTGATTGAAAGTGTTCTCTTGTGATTCAGTTCTTTTTTTTTCTTCCATAGTACTGTGAATATATGCCTGATGTTGCTAAATGTAGACAATGGTTAGAGAAGAATTTTCCAAATGAGTTTGCAAAACTTACTGTAGGTATGAACTTTTTTTTTTCTTCATCAAAGCTTGTATGTCTGAAACAAATGCACATGAGGCATTGTTTTAAAGATATGAGAGTCCTCTTTTAGTAGGATATTACAGAATTACATTTATCTATTTATTACCTTTAAAACTGTTTTAAGTTCTTGGGTTAAAATTCCTTCTGTAAAATCACATAGTGCTTCATGTGTCTTAGCTTTCTGAGACAGGATAGGTCAGTGTCAACCTTCTTATATAAAGAAGAGTAAATGATTTTAGGGGCAAATGTATGTGTTATATACTATTTTAGAAACAGGATAAGCAGCAAATAATATATCTACTCTTTGGAAATTACATTCTAGTAGGGAAGACAAACAAAATAAGTAAACTGTAAACTGACAAATGAAATAGTATGTTAAATAGTAATAAGCAAGGAATGGGGAGATAAGAATTTAAGAACTGTTGGAGAGGGATTTAGAAATGTTTGGTAGTGGCCAGGAAGAATTTTACTGAAAAGGTGGCATTTGAACAAGGACCTAAAGGAAGTGAGGGAGCAAGTTATTTGAATATCTGAGAGAAGAACATTCCAGGCAGGTACCACAGCCAGTGCAAAGGTCCTGAGGCAAAAACTCACCTAGCATGTTCAGAAAACAAGGAAGTCTTGTGTCTAGAGCTGTAGGATAGGGAGAAGAATGGAAGCTGACGTCAGAGAAGCAATGGAGGACCGCATCTTAAAGGCCAAGTCTTGACTTTACTCAGTGAGATGATGAGCCATTGGAGGGGTTTGAGCAGAAGAGTGATAAGGTCTGACTTGTGTTTCAGCATCATCTCTTTGGCTGCTGTGTTAAGAATAGACCAAAGAGGGACATAAAGAGCAGTGTGGGGAGACCAGATAGGAGGTTCCTGCAGAAATCCAGGCAGGAGATGACAGCCTGGGCGGGCTGGTTGATGGTAGTGGAGGTGGTGAAAAGTGGTCTGGTTCTGGATATATTTTGAAGGTGGAGCTGACAGGATTTTCTGGTGTGTTGCATGTGGGATGTGAGAAAAAGGGGCATTTAGGGTTTTGGCCCAAGCAACTAAAAGAGTCGAGCTGCTCTTGCCAGTGGTAAGGAAGACTGCAGAAGAACAGTTTCCTCAAGTTGCTAAAACTGGCATCTTCTCTGACAAGTTTGGTAAAAATGAAGGCCGTAGCAGGAAAAAGGGAAAGTCTGGGCTGGGAACAGCCTGTCACATAAAACCAGTGTTCAAGTCTGGTGTTATAGTCAGTTGACATGTTGGCCCTAAACATGACTTGCCTAGGCTGTGATGTGACTTGAGGGGTTGGGAAGCCCTTATTTGGAACAGACGTCAGGTTAACAAGATTAGTATGTTTAGATGCTAAACACTCCAGCAGAGTCTCAGTGTTTTATGCTCCTTTCATGTGGCTAAAAAAACTCTTCACATATCAAAGACTTGGTTTTATCTTCTGTCACCATACATTGAACCTTAATGGCTTCGGAATTAGACTTGATAGGAATCTAGCAATATAGTCATTTGCTTTACAAATGCCACATTCAGTTACGGGTGAAATGCCATAGTTGTGTATGAGGTTGTGCAAATGTTAGTATGAAGTGATATTAGTGCTTTTGGATTTTATTTCTACATATAGAAAATTCACCCAAACAAGAAGCTGGAATTAGCGAGGGTCAAGGCACAGCAGGAGAAGAGGAAGAGAAGAAAAAACAGAAAAGAGGTGAGACCTAAATTCATAATTAGATTTACACAACACACCTTCCCTCTGTCAGACAAAATAAGTAATGAACTTATTCCCAAAGTGAATTACATCTACCTGCTATCATAATTCCATATGTGTGCCTCACAGATTCATATTCTTAGGATGATGGCATGTCATATGATTTGGGCTTTATCAGTAAATTGGACCTAAGAAAATATGCTTTATTTGCCATGTATGTTTACATAAAAAGCAACTAGCCAGCTTGTTTATGATTTGAAAACTTTGTTACCTTGTAAAAATCCCTGTGTATTCTATTAGAGTGAGGACATTTATGAAATATTTTATTCTCTCAGTACTCCTGTCAGCCCAGTTGAATCTTTTGGTACAGCTGATGTGTATACCTGTCTCCCTCTTAAAACTAATTCTTCATGCTCTGGATCCTCCCTATATCTTTTTCTTCTCCCTAAATTATCCTCCCTATTACTAAACTTGGCTTATAAATATTTTCAGGACTTTGCATCTTTTAAAAAATCCCTTCAAGAGCCCATGTCCTACTTTGCCTTATCCTCCCACTTCTCTTCTTTGCTAGACTTCTTCAGTAAGACTTGCTATTCTGTCTTTCACTGTCCACTCCTCTAATACGGGTCCACCAAAGGCTGAGTAATTGCTAACTAATGGCAGCACTCCCCTCCTGAAGTGCTGTACTTACTGGTTTCTGTGACATTCTGCCTGCCTTCTTCTCCTGTCACTCCTCCTCAGTCTCTGTGCAGACTTCTCTTCTCCCTCCTGTCCTTTAAAAGTTGGTGTTTCCCAGGGTCCCGTCCTCTGCCTTCTTATTCTCTCATTCTGCATATTCTCACTGGATGAATCTTTCACATCCCTAACTTCTGCTGATACTCTACACTTAAAATGCCCAAGTCCAAGTCTCTAGACTGGAAATGGGCACAAATCTCACAGGCACAGCAAATTCAACACTTCCAAAATAAACTTACTAAGTCCCAAATCTGTGTCTTCTGTTTCCCCGTTTTGGTTAGGGAGAGCACAGTTTATCCAGCATCTCACCCAGAAACCTGAGACCCATCCTAGCTTCTGTCTCTGTCTCTTTTAATTAGTTCTAAATTCTGTTATTTCTTCTCTTTATCTTGTGCTTAGTGGCGATTACTGTTGCCACTGCTCTGTAGATTTTGATTAATTTCTGCCTGAACAAATACAGGAGCCCCCTCAGCGTCCTATCAACCTTTTCCCAGGCCTACCCTCTATGCTATGGAGTGTTCTTCCTAAAACATAATTATTTCACCCTTGCATAGTCATTCAGTAGCTTCTCTTCTTCCTCAATATAAAATTAAATAACAGCTTGATTTACTAGTCCTTTAATGACTGTATAAAATCTTTTGCTTTTCTGGCTTCATCTAGTACGTAGTGATAAACATCCTCTATCAAGACAAGTATAGTGGTCAAATATAAATGCTTTTTCTTTTCTTTGTGCTTGTTCCCTTTTCCTGTAATGTTCTTTTTTATTCCTCTCCATCCCTTTTTCTTTCACCTGGACAATTCTTATTCTGCAAGGACTTAGATGCCATTTCTAGGAAACCTTTCCTGCCCTCCCAAGGCTGAGGAGGAAGCCATTCCTGTGCAAAGCTATGGCAGTGCCATGTTCATGGGTCCTGTCATGCTGTGTATCAAGTTGCTGTAATTATTTTAACTTTTGTCTCCCCTCACTAGACTAGGAGTCCCTGGGTAGCAGAGCTGTGTTCTGTTCTGTTTATCTTTGTGTCCTCAGCCCTTAGCACAGTATTTGGCACATATTACTTAATAAGTGTTTTTTGAATAAATACTCATGCATGCATTTATTGACTTTATATCAGAAAAAAAAACTCTAGAAATTAGTATTTGGTACCTTTTGAAAATTAACAAATTTAAGGATGGTATCCTCTAATTATTTAAAAGGAAACAACTAATGTTCTTTCTTAATAAAGGAGGAAGGGGTCAAATAAAGCAAAAAAAGAAGACTGTACCACAAAAGGTTACAATAGCCAAAATTCCCAGAGCAAAGAAGAAATATGTAACAAGAGTGTGTGGCCTTGCAACTTTTGGTGAGTTCAAGCTTAAGTATGTTTAAAATGCATGAACTATATCCACCTCATACCCAGCTTTTTAATCTGGTATCATGAAAATTTCACAGGTCTAATTTTTACTGAGAAAATAGAAAGTGAGATTTTTGTATTTCTACCTATAGTTACAAAGTCAAAATTTGAAGATACTTAAAAGTCTTTTGCAGTGGGGACTGACTGGTTTAGCTTTTTCCCTTCCAGAATTCCTGCTTGGGCACATTTTGTTTATGATGAGGAGGGCTCGGTAGGATTTTTTTTGAAGCCTACTCTGTCCCTGCAGGCTCAGGGGCCAAAAGTTGCAGAGTGGCTTGCCTCCTTTGGGATTGACAGTAGAGGGTGAGGGATGGTGGATAGCAGCAGCAGGTCCTGCTGCAGAGCCTCATCACTTCTCAGAGGCCTTGAATGAACAGTGATCCTGGGGTAAATTGTAAACCAAGGTCCCTTCATTCATGTGACAGTAATCACGGGGCCACACTAAATATTACGTTTGTTACCATGCTATAAATTTTTCTTCTTTTGTTAAAAGGGATAAACAAAAGAACTTCATTATACTTGGAAGTGTATATGTAATGCTTGAAATTAATGTATTCCTGGATTTATTTTGGTCTTACCAAATGAGTTATGAATAATATGGATGATGCTATTTTTATGTACTGAGACTTTATTTGAGCATGAAAGTATAAGTTAAGACCCATGCCATGGTAGTTTGTAATTATCGTTTAGAAAGGAATATGAAACCCACTAGTGCAGTCTGTTTTATGAATGTAAAATGCAGATTAAATTTCAAAATGGAAAAGTGTCTTTGATGTACCAATCCAATTACAGTCTTGCTGTTTCTTTTTTTTAAATAATAGAAATTGATCTTAAAGAAGCACAAAGATTTTTTGCTCAGAAATTCTCCTGTGGTGCCTCAGTAACAGGGGAAGATGAAATCATCATTCAGGGAGACTTTACAGATGACATAATTGATGTCATTCAGGAAAAATGGCCAGAGGTAAGTACATGCATGTCTGTAGAAATAACTTTTTAAAGTAAGTCACCTCCATGTTATTTGATACCACAACTCACGAAATGTGATTACTTGTGTTCTATAGGTGGATGATGATAGCATCGAAGATCTTGGAGAAGTGAAGAAGTGACTTTGAAAATGTGTCTGTATTGAATGATCTGAACTGAGAGTTGATATGGCCAAAGGGAGAGAGGCCTTTTAAAAATATATATATTTATCCTACAGTAAACCTGTAGACTACCCTCACCCTTGGCATTTTCACTGTTGTACAACGCTGCTTTTTTTTTTTTTTTTTTTTTTGCCTTATTGCCAAAGTCTAATAACAGGAGACTGTCATGCTTTTGCATGAAATAGAATTTAGTCAAATAAAAATTTTTGGTCATTGGTACTGACTTTTCTCTTTCTCTCTTTTAAACTAAACACTGCTGACTTTTTGTGGAGAGCTTTCTGTTGATTGTAGATGATCATTTAATGAAATCATGATTTATAGTGAGTAATATTTTAAAGAATTTGAATTTTGGCTTCATCCCCAGTAATAACTGTCTTCTTGCTCCTTTGGTATGATAGTTTTGAGATGTTTGAGCATCTGATAGATTTGCGGTTGAATTTACTTAATGGTTACCAATCAAGTCCACCTTGTAGCCATATTGACGTAATGTTGGTAGGAGTTGTTCAAGCTGTTCTGAAGATTATTTGGTAAAGTATGTTAAAAGCCTTAAAACCATCCACACTGTTTGACCTAGTAAGCCACTTTTTTGACATTATCTTAAAGATATAACCAATGTTGCTTAAAATTGTAGACGAGGGTATTCATTTTGTTGTTACTCATAATATCAACACATTAAATAATATACATGAAAAATTGGGAAATGGTTAAAGAAGTGATGTTGGATCATATGGTAGAATATTATGCATATATTAAAAAATACTTTCCAAGAATACTTCGAAACGTGTTTGGCAGTGTTAAGTGGAGGACAGACCCCACATCTATTGTATATGTCACCACTGTTGTTTTGAGTAGAAAGTCTTTCAGAGAGGTTGAGAATTCTTGTTCTAGATCTAAATTTAATGTGAATAAAATTCTTCTAACCAGTTGAAAATAACAGCCATGCTCAATACATAGTCTGGGAAATAATAATTGAAATTCTTTTCTCATAAGAAGCAATGACAATTTTAATGAATGCACTAAATGAATTTAAACATTTTTATAAAGGTCTTAAGTCAGGTGCTACAGATTGAAAAGAAGACTCATGATATTTTAAATTGCTATAGAAACCTTTAAGAAATTTAGAGCCCATTGTTCATTGCCAAGCAAATTACAATATTAATTGGATGTTTTTTTAAATAATTAAAATCTTAGAATGTGTAATAAATATATCAGTCAAGAAAATGAAGTTCTGCATTAACTGCGAATTTTACTGAATATGACTATTTGATGAAGCAAATTTACCCAAAACCATTTGGTGTTACTGTATTAATGCTGTTGGTGCTGGAAGATGTCTATGTGCTTGTATCAACACACGTGACTTCATGTAAAGATTCTTAATGTTCACAGTTCTTGACAAATGCAATTTCAATCCTTATGTAGCCAGCAGTAGATGTTACTGTGGGAAAATGCAGGATTAAATTGTCCTTGTGGATAATGTGTGAATCTTCTTTGACCTGAAATTTAAAATGCAGCACAGTTTAATCTCTGATTAAAATGTACTAATAGCTCAAGAAGTGACTGTAATTCATAATTCTCTTTATGTTTAGTATTTTAGCAAAAAGAATACTTATCTTCAAACAGCCTTATCATATATATAAGAGATTTACCATATTAAGCTGGCAACTTCAAATGCAAATACAGTTTTGATATGTAGTATTCTACTCATTAAAAAAAAAAGATGCTGACCGAAACCTTTTTATTACATAGAAGCTTCAGTAAATCAGCTGTTGCTTAAGATAATAATCCGTGGTAGCTTTCTTACTTTTAGTTGAAAAGATGATAAATTGTTAAGGTGGAGTCTCCCTTTTTAGATCCTGTCTATTATTTGCTAAATTCCTTAGGAAAAAAGGTAGGGAGAGTGGAATAAGTCCATTTAGTCCAACAGTTTGAATTAGACTAAGTGTAAAATCAGATGCAGTGTAATTCTTGTTTCAGAAACATCATTTTATGTTAAAGTTAATATCTTTAAAGATACTTTGTTTTAAAGAAAACCTGTAGGAGTGAACTTAGGAAATTTTTTTTTTTTTTTTAAGGTAGGAGAGCAAGGTACAGGCTTTTATTTAGAGATAAAGTGAAAGGACAGAGCTTCCGGCTCCCGCCAGGAGGGGACAAAAAAGTCCCGAACTTATGAGATTTTTAACTTGCAATTGATAATCCTCTCACCACATCCAATTAATATTTACCAACAATCTCATAAAATGAGCCTCATTTCTTACTACTTTCTGTACACATCCTTTTACAGTGAGTATTGGGCATATGCTTGTCTGGTGAGTGATAATAAGCATTTTAGGGTTTCCTAGAAAAATACCAAATCTTACGATGGTGAAATTTGAGAAGCATGTGAATTAAAATTTGCCTTCCTGATTTTAAATTTTAAGAATTGTTTTGTTATTTCTAAACATGAGCCTACCTTAGAAGAGGCAAGTGTCACCCAAATCAGTAAAGCTTCAAAGCAAGTTCTTAGTGTTTGTTTTTCCATTTTCAGAATGTCTTTTATGAACACAAGAGTATGTTTTGCTAACTCATAGTCAACCAGAAAGTAAAGTTGAAACTGTATTTGGTAATTTGTCTTGCCAGAAAGGCCATTTTATGGGTTAAGCAGTAGGGGATGGGCCACCAGGGGCTAAACGTGATAAGTAGTATATTTTCATAGTCCAGTTCCTGTATAACAGGGAGTAAAAGGGGGAAAGAGGGTGACTATGAAATAGCACATGAAAAAGCTTAGCTTCAACCCACAATGTGGTACATTTTGTCATGACCAAGTGCAAGATTCTCTTTACTATTCAGGAACTACACTGAGTCCAAAAAATATTCTTTTTTCCCCCCCTGTTCATCTATGATGCTTAGCTTAGAACTGTCTGCTAGCATGGCCCCCAGCTATTAACTGCCAGGGCTGTCGTTCGGTAGGGGAAGACGTAAATAAGTGAGCAACTCAAATGCCACAAGCTAGCGTGATGGCAGAAACGGTCTTCACTGGCTTCATCGGTCCCCTACGGACCGAGGGTAATGGGATTTACATTCTCAGAGGAGCCCTGCGAGAGCCCGCGGACCCTCCCCAGAAGAACGCGAGCTGGAAAAGAAACGTGGACAGCGCGCGACGCCGGGTGGGGACTCGCCTCCCGCGCGGCTACCGAGGTGTCGCGAGAGCCGGGCGGCCTCTTGGCGGCGCCGGAGCGGGCAAGAGCCCCGCGCGTTACGCTGAACAGGCGGTTTGGTGGGCTTGCTTGTGCCAGCCGAGGGCGCCAGCCTTCGGGGCTCGGGGCTGGCCCCCGCCCTCCTGGCAGGCGCGCCTATGGCGTTTCTAAGGTGACGCTGCGCGCACCGACTTCATCTGGCGGCGGAGAAAACACGTATGAACCCTCCGGTGACCCTCCTCGCCGGGCGCCAGGTGAGCGGCCGCCGCTTCTGCCGGTGCGTCCGGGTGCGAGCGGACCCCAGACGTCGGGAACGACGTGCATTTGGGCCGAACTTGCGTGGTTTGTAAGGAACGGCTTCTGCTTAAAATTTTAAATAGTACACCGCGCGTCGAGGAAAAACGGAGCGTCTCAACCCGTTTTCTTAACCTCAACGCAAACTTGGTACTGAGCCCAGGCGCGAAGACAAGCGGCGAGTACAAGCGCTCATTTTCAGCGTTTCAGTGGGCGTTTCTGTCTACCACCCCGCTTCCGGTCCTTGATTTACTTGCCTGTAACCGCGTGGAGGAGCACGCTCACTACCCCGCTTTGACAAAAAAGTCTTATAAGCAAACTCGCCTAAGAACGCGTTAGTCCGAATGCCATGAGAGGAACGTGCGTTGTATTGTATTGCTTGTTATCTTATACTAGAGTATTTGCTGCTGGCTGTATCCCCAGCCACTTGGCATTAGTGAATTATTTGTGGAGCGAATGAATTCATTAGTGACTTAGCAACGACTAGATTTAAAGTTTTGTGATTTGGAATCCCTTTTACTCTAAATTCCATTATCCGTGTAGTTACTAGTAAGTAACTGATTCATTTGTCATTATTATTTATTTGCAAGTCTTATTTTTCAGGAAGCGGTACTGTACATGGGCTCTGGTGAACTTTTAGCTACTGTCTTTAAGATAGGATTCTTTAACACAGTTCTTCATAGATGAAGTTCTCCATAGATGGGGACAGAACCATATTTAGAATCTTAATAATACTGTTTCACTCTTAATAATAGCTAATGTTTGTTAAGTGCTTACTATGTGCCAAGTACTGTGAAGTGCTTTTCAGAGCTTGTTTTTCCTGCTCCACGCACACAACTCTTAAGTTCAAGTAGTTAGTACCGTTTTACAGGTGAGGAAACTAAGGCTTAGAGAAAGCTAACTTACCCAAGGTTATAGAACCACTGAGTGGCTAATTCTGTATTCACACTTAAGTCAGACCAATTTCACTGCACTAGACTTCAAAATGATGTGTGTTGTAAAGGAATTATTGTAGATAACTTTGTTACATATGAAAATGCCATCATGGTTTATAAAAACGTTCAGTTTTAGAGATGCATGCTGATGTATGTAAGAGTGAAATGTACTTTTTTATCAAAAGAAAAAAAGGAAAGTTGAAACGTGCAAAATCTTTATAATGGGGGACCTACGAAATGAGCATATAGGAGTATAGTGTACTGTTCTAGTCTTCTGTGTATGCTTAAACATTTTCTTTTACAAAAAATTTGTTTTTAAGTATCTATGTTGTTTGGACCAGTCGCAATTATTAAGTTGTTCTTGGATAGATGGAGTGTATATGGATGTGTTAAATGTTGCAAGAATTATTTGCATTTGAACAGTAATTATTTCATATTTCCCTTTACTTGATATGCTCCAAAATTGTGGGGGCAAGGTGAGGGAAAATAGTGTTGATTAATACAAGGAGAGGGTTGACAGTAAAGAAAAAAAAAAACAGAAATGGATTTGTCTGTGATGAGTCAACAGAGATTTCACAAACAGTCCCACTTTTTAAGAGTGGTGTGTGTAGCATGACAAAATGATAGAGGCAGAGTGCATAGTAGGTGTGAATCTGTTTTAAATATGCATAATGTTGATGCCATGTTATAATCAGTGAATGAAACAGTCAATTTAACTGCCATGAATAGGCAGCAAAAGAAGGTATTTGTAAAGTATGCTTTGGCTGTCTTATGTTACTGATTAGCTTTATTTTGGTATAAAACCACTTTCTATGTTTAGAACATCGGGTCAGAAGTTGAGATTTCCACTGTTGAGAGACAGCGGAAAGAGCTGCAGCTGCTCATTGGAGAACTGAAAGATCGAGATAAAGAGCTCAATGATATGGTTGCAGTACATCAGAGACAACTTCTTTCATGGGAAGAAGATCGACAGAAAGTGCTGACTTTGGAAGAACGTTGCAGCAAATTAGAAGGTCAGAAATACATTCGGTGGTATCTGTTGTACATGTTAATGCACTGCTATATACTAACACATTAAAAGAGTTCACAGGAAAAGTAAAGAAGGGCTATCTCAACTCAATACCTGCTGTCCCAATACCTGGAGTTTAGTTGAGTTGAAGATAGGAGGACTGTATGAACACTCACAATCGAACAAACACAATGTGGATTAAAGTAGGGCAAATAAATGTAGAAAGGCTGCTGGGTAGAGCTCCAGTTAACAGGGAGTGTCAAGAGTGAACCTGGAGGAATTTAGTTTTGAGCTAGAGTATGAATAAAGATGCTGTACTACTAGCCATTTCTGTTGAACTGACTCAAGATTTTAAACTTTCAATATTGAACTTGTACTTAAAATGGTCATATTTTAATATTAAGCAGTCTCAAAAATGGCCTGCAAAAACCTTCTTTTGTACCACATTGTAATTGTCATCCCTTTAGTGCTGCCTGAAAGACTAGATGTTCTGTTAATACTACATTAATACTAGACTGTATTAGTGGAGAAAACACTATATCTGTTTATTAGACATATAGCACCTTCTTTTTACTTATATTACACAATGGATTCTGTAAATGTGACAATCTAAGTATACAAAATTTTTTTTTTAATTAAGTTATCATTGTATACAATCTTATGGTCAGGTTTCACATGAGCAACATTGTGGTTACTACATTCCCCCCTATTATCAAGTCCCCACCACATACCCCATTATAGTCACTGTCCATCAGCATAGTAAGATGCTATTGAGTCACTACTTGTCTTTGTGCTAAGTATACATAATTTTTCCATTTCTTTTTTGACCATCTAATTTTATTTAGACCATACCCACCCACACATATATACACATAAACAGTATTTAATATTATTGCACATTAAATGTAATACAATCTCTTTTACTTTTAATATAAATATATTAAAGAACAAAGATAACAGATTATGTAGCCATAAGTATCTGGTTTTAAAATGAGTTAAGTAACTTGAATTGCCATTTCATGGAAAATGAATGGCCAATAAATACATAAAAAGGTTCTCATTAGTAATTGGGGAAATGCACATTAAGACCATAATAAGATACCATTTTACACTTATCATGTGTTGGTAAAGGTGTGGAGCCAGGGGAGGGCCCATTTACTGCTGCTGAGAGTGCCAGTTGGTACAACTACTTTGGAAATCATCTGACAGTATCCTAATAAAGTTGAAGATATAGATAGCTTATGCCTCAGTATTTCCACTTTTAGGAATATACTCACATTCAGAGTACACAAGAATTACCTAAGGATCTTGTTAATATGTAGATTCCAATACAGTAGGTCTGGGGCCTAAAGAGTCTTCAATTCTAACAAGTTCCCAGGTGATGTCAGTGCTACTATTCCAAGGACATTTGAGCAGCAAAACTCTAGAGAAAATCTAGCAAAAATGTACCAAGATGCATGTATAAGAATATTTGGAGCTATGTTATTCAAAGCACTGCAAAGTGGAAATGACCATCAATAATAGAGTGGATTAATAAATTTTGCTATAATCATATGTGAGATACTATGTAGCAACAACAGAGTTACACACAAGTGCGTGGATAAATCTCAGAATCATACCCTTAAGTGAAAAAAGCAAACAGAAGAATTTGTAGAGTAGAACTCCATTTATATACTGTTCAAATTTAACTATTTTTAGGGATGTAGTCATAGGTGGTATAACTATAACTAAGCAAGAAAACGATTAAGATCAGGATAGTAGTTGGGAAAGTGGAAATTGAGAGATTGTATTCAGGAAGTGACATACAGGAGTATTTCAGGCTGCTGTCTGTTTTAGTTCTTGACTAGAGTACAGTATCGTGCACTTCATTATAAAAACTTTTTAAAAGAAGAATTATCCTTCCAACATCCAAAAGACAAGGAACAACAAATGCTGGTGAGGATGCAAAGAAAGGGGAACCCTCCTACACTGTTGGTGGGAATGTAAATTAGTTCAGCCATTGTGGAAAGCAATATGGAGGTTCCTCAAAAAACTAAAAATAGAAATACCATTTGACCCAGGAATTACACTCCTAGAATTTACCTGAAGAAAACAAGATCCCTGATTCAAAAAGACATATGCACCCTTATGTTTATCACAGCACTATTTACAATAGCCAAGATATGGTGTCTTGCCAATGGGTTTCAGCCCTGGGCAAGTTTATTATGGATTCAATGTGACCAAAGAAATCGACAGCAAAAGGTTCTTGGGGTGAAAGGGTTATACCCAACTTTATTTCTAGGTGGCAGGTCAGTCACTAAAATCCCATTCACTCAGAGGGAGTCTGCAGGCAGCAAGCCGGTCTCTGCCTCTGGGCCCCTCTGTCTGCACAGCCATCCTCTGGGCCTCTCTGCACAGTCATCCCACACAGCCGTCCTCTGGGCCTTGCTGCACAGTCATCCCACACAGCTGTCCTCTGGGCCTCTGTCCTTGGCGCTGCCACCACTCCAGCCTCTGCTCTGCTCTCCTGCAGCCTTGCAGCCCTGCTACCATGTCATGCCCAGAAAACTGGGAGGAGCTCTTTTTATAGAGCCAACAGCCATGTATTGCCCACAGGTGTGCAGTGAGCTAGTCAACCACAGCCAGGTGAGAATCCTGGCCACAGGAACTCTCATTTTATCCACAATGGAAGCAACCTAAGTGTCCATCAGTAGATGAATGGATAAAGAAGAGGTGGTACATATACACAATGGAATATTATTTAGCCATAAGAAGAAAACAAATCCTTCCATTTGCAACAACATGGATGGAGCTAGAGGGTATTATGCTCAGTGAAATAAGACAGGCAGAGAAAGAAAAATACCAAATGATTTCACTCATTTGTGGAGTATAACAACAAAGCAAAACTGAAGGAACAAAACAACAGACTCACAGACTCCAAGAAGGAACTAGCAGTTGGGGAGGGTGGGAGGGAGCGAGAAGGGGATTAAGCGGCATCATAATTAGCACACATAATATAGGTAGGTCACAGGGAAGACAGTATAGTACCAAGAAGACAAGTCATGACTCTGTAGCATCTTACTATGCTGGTGGGGACAGTGACTGCAATGGGGTGTGGGGAGGACTTGATATTATGGGTGAATGTAGTAACCACAATGTTGCTCATGTGAAACCTTCATAAGATTGTATATCAATGATACCTTAATAAAAGAAAAAAAGTCAGTTGACTACAAAGAAATTTTTTTTCCTTTAAAGAATTCTTTAACACATTTACCTTTCAACCATGTACTTGAAAATAATGCATTTTAAGCTTTAGATCTGACCACAAATAAGCTGTTGGTGAAATTTCCCTCAGGTGAACTTCATAAAAGAACTGAAATAATCAGGTCACTCACAAAGAAGGTAAAAACTCTTGAATCTAATCAAATTGAATGCCAAACGGCTCTTCACAAGACTCAGCTGCAGCTTCAGGAAATGGCTCAAAAGGCAACTCATTCCTCTCTCCTCTCTGAAGACCTTGAGGTTGGTTTTATTTTGTGAGAAGCTTCACTAGCCCAAATTCTGTTTGTGTTTCAATCATTGAAGAATTTGATTTAAATGTTGCCATATGTGTGTGAAGGTAAATCCGTCAATCAGCATAGTTTTGTGTTCATTTTTCTGCTTTGATATTGTCACTATCCTGTCAGAGATGGAGCCTTATTGCAACCCTTTTCTAACTGTTGGGCCTTTTGGTTTAGCAGGATCTATCATTTTATCAACAGTGGGTTATTTGAGAAAGCCTATCTTTAAGTCTGAGATCAGTATTACCAAGTTTTGGAAGCTTCAAATTATGCTTTCTATGTGTCGTCTGATAAAGATATCTACACCGTTTTAGTGGCATATTGGGAATAAAATCCATAAGACTGATTTTTCAGTTTTCAGTTATGACTGGTCTAGTCATCAGATAGTTTTGAGCTGATGGTTTATGAGAAGCACAGAGAGAAAGCCATTTTTTTTTATTGTCCATCTTCTGCTTGTTTCATAATGATATTTAGTATGAATTTTGGTAATATAATGAGTCTTAATAATTCATAATAGTACAGATTTTATTTCATTCCTTTTTTCTATTATTTTTTTCAGATCGCTATTCTAGATAGTTTCTAGCTATAACAAGTAAAAACTATTCTAGAATCTATTGATATGGTGAATTAAAAAATGGAAGTGTATTAGCTTGGCTGCCATAATAAAATACCATAGACTGCAGGGTTAAACAGCAGAAATTTCTTTCCTCACAGTTCTGGAGGTTAGAAGTCCAAGGTCAAGGTGCCAGCATGGTCAGTTTCTGGTGAGGGCTCTGTTCTTAGCTTGTAGATAGCTACCTTCTTACTGTGTCCTCGAGTGTCCAGGAGAGAGAGAGTGAGCAAGCTCCCTGGTGTCTTTCTTAAAAGGATACTAATTCCATCACAAGGGCCCCCCTCATGACCTCATCTAAACCCAATTATGTCTCAGACACCCATCTCCAGTTACCAGCATGTTGGAGGTTACTAAAGCTTTGATATGCATTTTGTCGGGGGGTGGCAGAGATGCAATTCAGTCCATAGCAGAAAGTTTATTAATAAGCTTTATTTATTTGTTGTTTTGTTATCATTAATCTACAATTACATGAAGAACATTATGTTTACTAGGGTCCCCCCTTCACCAAGTCCCCCCCACAAACCCCATCAGTCACTATCCATCAGTGTAGTAAGATGTAGAATCACTACTTGTCTTCTCTGTGTTGCACAGCCCTCCCCATGCCCCCCCACATTATACATGCTAATTGTAATACCCCCTTTCTTTTTCCCCTTCCTTCCCTCCCATTCTCCCCAGTCCCTTTCCCTTTGGTAACTGTTAGTCCATTCTTGCGTTCTGTGATTCTTCTGCTATTTTGTTACTTCAGTTTTTCTTTGTTCTTATACTCCACAGATGAGTGAAATCATTTGGTACTTGTCTTTCTCCACCTGGCTTATATCACTGAGCATAATACCCTCTAGCTCCATCCATGTTGTTGCAAATGGTAGGATTTGTTTTCTTCTTATGGCTGAATAACATTCCACTGTGTATATGTACCACATCTTCTTTACCCATTCATCTACTGATGGACATTTAGGTTGCTTCCATTTCTTGGCTATTGTAAATAGTGCTGCGATAAACATAGGGGTGCATCTGTCTTTTTCAAACTGGGCTGCTGCATTCTTAGGGTAAATTCCTAAAAGTGGAATTCCTGGGTCAAATGGTATTTCTATTTTGAGTAATAAGCTTTATTTTTTAGTGAAACTTTGGGTTCACAGCAAAATAGAGTGGAATGTACAGAGATTTCTCATGTTCCACCTGTCCGCCTGCCCCACTGTGGACATTCTGTACCACAGGAGTACACTTACTGTAGTCAGTGAATCTGCATGGACATATTACCACCCAAAGTCCATAGTGTATATTAGGGTTCATGCTTGGTGTACATTCTGTGGGTTTTGACATGTGTAATAACAGGTATCCAGCACTGTGGTATTGTACAGAATAATTTTGCTGTTCTGAAAATCCTCTGTGCTCCATCTGTCCAACCCACAACCCCTGGCAACCACTGACCTTTTCACTGTCTCTATAGTTTTGCCTTTTCTAGAATGTAGTTGGAATCATATAACATGTAGCCTTTTCATACTGGCTTCTTTCACTTAGTAGTATGCACTTGTTTCCTTCACAAAGATATCTTTTTAAAAGCCTAATCTTTTTTCCAACCAATATATATATCATGTACACAGTAATTATATCAGATACAGTTCTGTGTTTTTTAAAAAACCCTGATAAATGGGAATACCCCAATATGCAGTTCTTTAAACACAATAAAAAAATCAAGTGCGCTGAGGTGCACTAATACTACTTTATTTCAGCAAAGGAAATATCTTACAAATCTGGTTTTCATTCATTCATTTTCTTATTTCTTGCCAACCTAGAATTATGTATAAAAGACATGAGAAAATAGGCATTTATAAATAAACATAATCAATGTAATTCAGTGGGACAGACATGAGTATTCAGAGGATGCTGGAAGTACTGGAGAAATAGCTTTTTGTGTTCCTTTTTGATGAGTGTTTAGTTAGCCCACTTTGTTACTAAAAAAAGTTAAAAAACAGAAGAATGAGCACAGATGGTGGCTCATGATAGTAATGAAAGCTTGTAAATGACATAATTAGTATTTTATGTGTTGTTCCCTTGTAGGCTAGAAACGAAAATCTCAGCAGCACGTTAATGGAACTTTCTGCTCAGGTAGGACAGTTGCAAGCTCGAGAACAGTCCCTCACTACAATGATAAAGCTAAAGGTAATTCAAAGTAATACCACCTCCATTTTCCAGGGCACTTTGTAGTTCACAGTATAGTCACATACATTATCGTAAGTCCCATAGTATTCAGATAGGTACAGTTACCAGTATACTCTCTTTTTTTAAATTCTCATATTAGAAATGACATCAAGTTTAAAATGATGTCCCCAAGGCATTGAGAGAAGCGGCAGGGCTCCACTTTGGTCCCTGTCTCCAAGGCTTATCCCCTGGGCTAGCCTGCCTAGACCTAAGGCTAACTTGGCTCTTCTGAGGCATCCGTTATTAGGTCTCATAAAGTCTTGAGCAGTCAGATTGTGTGTTCATTTCTTTGTAATGGAGAGAAAAACTGTTAGCAGTTGATAGTCACTCACATGCTTTAAACAGTGATTGATTAAGTCTATTCTGCTGTAACACATGTGTTTGACCACTGGTAAATACAGGAGTGTTGGTATAATGGGACGCTCATGCTGATTCATATGTGATTTTTTTTGTCATTAATGTTTTGAAATGCCCAGAGGTAAACTTTCTTAAAATTAGAAAGAAAATATTAAAATCTACAGAATTATCTTTAGTCAAGTAGTTACTAGTTTAGTGGCTTCAGCAACCACTACATCACCATCGTAGCAAACTCGTGGCACAGCTGTGAGTACTGATGAAGGCACTGGAAAGGATTGCCTGACCCATGCGTCTACACTGGCATCTGCTAGACCGTATTCGTGTACAAGTGGACCCTTGGTTTTTGCTACTGATCAGATCACAAAGTTCCATCTGTTTTTGAATGGTTTGCCTCAACCCTGCTTGTCCTGTCAGTCTTCCTAGTGTGAGATGTGCAGACTGGGGGGTTTTGTTTTCAGGAATGTATGTACAATACTGTAGCAGAAATGCTTGTCCTTAACAGGGATAAAACCTGCTAATAATAGTTATTATTATTATAGTTATTAGTGACTTGGGGAGGGCTGAACTTTTCCTTATTATTATTATACTTTTAAATGTTGTTTGAATTGCTTTTCAGCAAGCAGAAAATTTTTATAATGAAAATAACCACCTAAACCAACAATAGAGGTTCTGATTTGAGTAGATTTGGGATAAGGTCTTGGCATCTCGTTCTCATAAGCTGAAGAGAAGGGGAGGAAATGTGGGGCCAATGAGGTTTGTCTGTAGTCTGGAGAATAACCCCCATCCCTTCCCCCCCACCCTGCAGGGGCCACCAGCCCTTCTACTGCTGTTGCAGTTTCTTAGGTAGTTGAATGGTCTAGTTCTAAACTTCCTGAGACAGTAAACTCTGGTGGCTCATACATGGTTTCAGGAGCCAGCCAGCTAGGTCCAAACCAGAGCTCCATCACTAGGTGTGTAACTGAGCAGTTACTGTTGACTCATCTCTCATGTGGGGATCACATGTGATGCCTGCCTCATAGAAGTTACTGTGAAGTTGTATGAGTTAACACACAGAAGCACTTAGAACAAAACCTGGCACACGGTGAGCTATTTTTAAGTCTAATCTTTTTGTATTGATTAGTTGGAATTTTAAGATCTCATACTACTCATAGTTTTCAAATTTGGTTTTTAGGACAAAGATATTATTGAGGCAGTCAATCACATTGCAGACTGTTCAGGTAAATTTAAGTTGTTGGAGCATGCCTTGCATGATGCTAAGATGGTGGAGACTTGTATTGTGAAAGAAAAGCAAGATTATAAGCAGAAATTGAAGGCATTTAAGATTGAAATCAATAAACTAAAAGGTAAGGAAGAGACATAAATGTAAGCATTTTCTCGGGAATATAGTTTCATTTAGGTTCACTTAATCTTATGATTGAGAGTAGGTCTGCTGCTGGCTTTAGGTCCTACCATGAAATGTTCATTTTGTTTGTATAAAATTACACTGCAGTTTTTGTGTTACAGGATAAAAGAGTTGGGGAAAATTGCCTAATGCATTATATTTTTAAGATAATCCTTCCTTTGCTGTACCAGTTAGCTACTGCTAATAATAGGCCTTGTAACAATCAACAACAGTAGTTCGGTGACATGCAACTGACGGTGTTTGTTAAACTCACATGTCAGCCAAAAGGGAACCAGCCCATCTCAGGTGGACCTAGCTGAGCTGCTCATCTGGGGCATCTCATCTTCTCACAGGTAGGCTGGCCTGAGCCTTTCCTCCCAGAGTGAAGGCAAAGGCACAAGAAGCAGCAGAAACATGCAGGACCTGAAACGCCATCACTTCCCCTCATTCTGTTGGCCAAACCAAGTCATGTGGCTGAACCCCCATGAAATATCCTCTGCCCCTTTGTGGGAGGGGTGAGGAATTCCACTGGCAACATAATCTACCAGAATGGCTTTTTGGTGTATGTTTTAGTTCTGCAAATTTCTTTTGCATTTTTTTTCTATTTTCATTCCCACATTACATCAATGATTCACTTCCTTCCAAGTAACATTACTTGTTTTATAGTTTTATAATGAAATGGAGGCTAAGTGGTTAGTTCTGTTTACATGAATATGGGTATAGGTGATGGAGTAAAAATACAAATTTGTCTACAGAGGATATGGAGGTAGGCCCACTGTTCTCTGGCCACTCCCCACTATGGAGCAGAGCCAGCTGTCAGACTGAGGAGCTGTCATTGTCGTCTTAAATCTGTGTCCATAGTACCACATTTTAGAAATGGTCATCGCCGTAGATACAGAGGGATGGGCAACTGCAGAATGACAAAGCCACTGTGGTGGAGGCAGTCTTACCTCCGTCCATGGTGGAGAGTCTCATGAGGTAGGGTTGTGAAGGTTTGTTGTGGCTGATTTAATTTGGAAGACAGTCTTATAAAATCTTGTTCTTATCCCTGATTGTTGCCACTCATAGGTGTTGTCTCCATGTGTAGCTTCAGCTACAGCCATAATCACACTGTAAGATGGTCTCTGTCTTTTCTTTTTTGGATCCACAGTTACTAGCACTGCCCCTGGGGTACATTGCAGGCATTCGATAAGTATTTATTAAATGCTGTGTATGCCTACATAAGTTAGTCAAGAAGTCTGTTGATCAGTATTTTTGCCTTATTTTATAAATTTTTTTTATTAAAAGCATTTTTTTTTTAAGAAAAATGGCAGTGGGTAGTAGATGAGAGAGTGAGGGAATTAGACTCATTTGGTTTGAGGTAGACAAGAAAAGTGCTTAAAAAAGGAAATCTGAGCTGAAGCTTGGATGATGGGATGAACTAGCTATGTGAAGGGTCCAGAACCTTCTAGGCAGAAGAACAGCAAATGCAGAAGCTTTGAGGTGGGCTTTGAGGTTGGGACATACTCAAGTGATGGGAGGAAAGAAGAGGGAGAGATTTTACATGGCTGGCTGGCCATGTGGGGATTACAGTGATGAATGGGCATCTCGTCCTAAGTGTAGCTGGAGGGCTTTTAACAGAGGTGACATGAGCAGATTTTTATTTTTAAAGGTTGCCCTGATTGCTCTGTGGATGATAGGCTGTAACTCAAGGTTTGAGTGCGGAGACCAGTCAGGCAAGAGATAGGGAACCCTTGGCCACGGTCATTGGCAGGGTGAAGTTTAGTTTTGGAAATGGGACTTATTTCGGCTGTAGATCAACAGGACTTCATATTAATTGGAAGAGGGGACTATAAAGACAGGAGAAGTATTCATAGTGTGTATTCTCCTAGGAACTAGTATTTATTTGAGGATTTTTTTTTCCTTCTATTTGTGAAGAGGACCTAAATGAAAAAACAACAGAAAATAATGAACAACAAGAAGAGATCGTTCGCCTCAAGCAAGAGAAAAGTTGCCTGCATGATGAATTGCTTTTTACTGGTAAAAATAAATAATTAGTTTAAGTGATTAAATAGTTGTATGTTTTCACCAAAGTTTTCTACCATGCTACTGTGACAGGCTATAGGAATATACCTCTTTCAAAATAATCTTTGGTTTTCTTTTTTATACCCTTTGAGTGTTGGGCAGGGACCAGTCGGGCTTTTTAAGATGTTGTCATGCCTTCCAGTCAACTGCCTCCTCGTCTCCAAAGTGAGGAGTTACTCCTACTCCCAGCTTGAGGGTGCGACTCAAAACATAACACTTGTGCTTAAACATTCATTAAGAAAGAATCTTATGAATTGAAGAAGGAAGGATGTTTATACTTTTGCAAATACTAGACAAAAATTAGGAATTCAACATTTTTCCAGTTTTGCAAAAAGATTACCTATAATTATTACAGTTGTAAAAATCCTCATATGTTTTGTTACATCAGTATGACTCTAAAGTAATAATGTTGGAGTTGAATTTTTTCATGATTAAAGGCAGGTTTATCAGTAAAGTTTAACTAGGCCCCCTTCGGATAAACATGAAAATTACATTCCCTGGCCACGTTCTCACACACTTTATCTCCTACTCATCACAGAATCTCAGAGTTTCCACTAGTGAAAACCTCCCTTTTCTCCACTCCCAATTTAGAATCACTGAGTGTGTGTGTGTGTGTGTGTGTGTTATCTCTTCCTGCCAATCAAGATTTTATTAGGCTTTCGTTTTGGTAGTTCATTTTAAGAAAATTACAGGTTTGGAGGTAAAGTTCCAAACAGAAATTAGAATTTTTGAGTCTACTCATACCTACCTTCAATACCCTTCCTTCTAGGAAAAGAATACATTTCTGTAAGTTATAAGACAAAATGAAGTATTATATTAAAATTTTTTCAAATAAAATGGAATTCTTAATTTTAAACTCATAAGTAAAGATTGGGAAAATGTGTTTTTTTTATCACTACAGGTCACTATTTCCATTTCTAGTATTCCCGTCTCAAAGTAGTATCTCTTATTTTGCTGCAGATATATATTCAAAAAATCCTAAAGATATGTATACTAAAGAGATACAAAGATACACACACACACACACACACACACACACACACACACACACAGCTTTAGAGCTGAATTCAGTCAGTCTTTGAATAAGCATGTATGTGTGAGACACTCTACTTGATGCTAAGCAGCTCTTAGGCCTGCAGAGAATCCTTTGCTACATAGATGCTTTGAATACAGTGTAGTGAAAGGCCAGAGGGAAGAAAACTACAAAATATTTTAACAGTCTTTTTTCTTTTTGATTCATCAGTTTTTAATCAAGCAAGAGAAAAGTTGCCTGCATGATGAATTGCTTTTTACTGGTAAAAATAAATAATTAGTTTAAGTGATTAAATAGTTGTATGTTTTCACCAAAGTTTTCTACCATGCTACTGTGACAGGCTATAGGAATATACCTCTTTCAAAATAATCTTTGGTTTTCTTTTTTATACCCTTTGAGTGTTGGGCAGGGACCAGTCGGGCTTTTTAAGATGTTGTCATACCTTCCAGTCAACTGCCTCCTCGTCTCCAAAGTGAGGAGTTACTCCTACTCCCAGCTTGAGGGTGCGACTCAAAACATAACACTTGTGCTTAAACATTCATTAAGAAAGAATCTTATGAATTGAAGAAGGAAGGATGTTTATACTTTTGCAAATACTAGACAAAAATTAGGAATTCAACATTTTTCCAGTTTTGCAAAAAGATTACCTATAATTATTACAGTTGTAAAAATCCTCATATGTTTTGTTACATCAGTATGACTCTAAAGTAATAATGTTGGAGTTGAATTTTTTCATGATTAAAGGCAGGTTTATCAGTAAAGTTTAACTAGGCCCCCTTCGGATAAACATGAAAATTACATTCCCTGGCCACGTTCTCACACACTTTATCTCCTACTCATCACAGAATCTCAGAGTTTCCACTAGTGAAAACCTCCCTTTTCTCCACTCCCAATTTAGAATCACTGAGTGTGTGTGTGTGTGTGTGTGTGTTATCTCTTCCTGCCAATCAAGATTTTATTAGGCTTTCGTTTTGGTAGTTCATTTTAAGAAAATTACAGGTTTGGAGGTAAAGTTCCAAACAGAAATTAGAATTTTTGAGTCTACTCATACCTACCTTCAATACCCTTCCTTCTAGGAAAAGAATACATTTCTGTAAGTTATAAGACAAAATGAAGTATTATATTAAAATTTTTTCAAATAAAATGGAATTCTTAATTTTAAACTCATAAGTAAAGATTGGGAAAATGTGTTTTTTTTATCACTACAGGTCACTATTTCCATTTCTAGTATTCCCGTCTCAAAGTAGTATCTCTTATTTTGCTGCAGATATATATTCAAAAAATCCTAAAGATATGTATACTAAAGAGATACAAAGATACACACACACACACACACACAGCTTTAGAGCTGAATTCAGTCAGTCTTTGAATAAGCATGTATGTGTGAGACACTCTACTTGATGCTAAGCAGCTCTTAGGCCTGCAGAGAATCCTTTGCTACATAGATGCTTTGAATACAGTGTAGTGAAAGGCCAGAGGGAAGAAAACTACAAAATATTTTAACAGTCTTTTTTCTTTTTGATTCATCAGTTTTTACTCATACACCCTATTATTTATTACTAGGCAAAGTATATGGAATTTGTTAGATAGTACTATAATAAATCCATTTTGTGAAATAATTTTTTTTATAATTTCCTAAAGCTGATCTCTTAAACATCTTTTCTGCTTATACCACTGCCTCAAAACAATTTTTGTATGTTTAAATTATAAAAGCAATTAAGCCTTAGCAGTGAAATAAAAGGCTTTAACATGATAATACATTGTCAGGTGCTGTGGCTAAAAAGGAACACATTTTACTTGAAGTTGGAAGATATCTTGAAAATGTACTTTTAAGTTCAAAACACTTTTTTCCTCTTGTTGAAGATGAAATTCTTTACACAGGCTTAGAGTTATGTTTCATTTATTCATACATATTGCTTATGAGAAGTTTGCAAATAAATGATACTAGTTTACATTTCTGTGGTCCTGACAGTCCTGTAAATAAATGAGGCCCTTGGTGATTTGAGTGACTGGCCTAAGGCCTCCCAGTCAGTAAAAGGCAGGGCCTTGACTGGAACCTGGCAGTATGCAGAATTCCATGGCCCTTTCCATTGTGCTGTCTTTCTTTGGCTGCCCCTTCAGGCAGTTATCAGCTGGAAGTTCCATGCCTCTTTTGATTCTGTGACCAACTTGTAAAAATAGGTGGACCCACTCCACTTTGATCTCTCAGCTAAACCCAGCCATGTAGAAAAGTATCTGATTAGGGAAACATTTATATTTATAGCTGAGTTGCCTTTTATGCAACAGTAAATTATTCCAAAGTCAGAGGTTAAGGCAAAACTCAAATATATTTGAAATTACCCATAAATGCCAAATAAAGTAGCTGGCTTTTGTTTAGGAGCCATGCTGTATCCAAAACAGGAATCTCTAAATACTGGGGATATAACCAGTCAGTCACAATGCTGTTAACATGAGAGGCTTGTGGAATTGAGACCAGCTGAGAGTCACAGACACACTGTGGGCATCACTTCCACTGTTAAAGCAGCTATGTCCCCTTTCCAATTTTTTTCTTTGTGCATATAATTGAATTCATGTAAACTAAATGCAACTCCACATACATAATGCAAGTCTGCTACATTTATATGCTTTTATTATGTTGTAACTCATGTAATGCAAAGAAATAATTCAGATTGAATAAAAGGTGTAGTAGTTTAAACCTGGCACCATGGCTTTTACTCTGCTTTTTGCATTTCTCAATTTTGTGTACAAGGATTACCTTTACCAGTAAGGTGGTGCCACAGACCCACTCTGGAAAGGCTGAGCATTAAAGTGTGGTTGGTGGGGGGCAGGGGGGCAGTAGCACTGCTCACTCTCACTCTTTACCCTCCCTGGTCCCCTGTGACCACCAGCAAACTGCAGGATAGTCACCTAGCTGGAGCTGCATTCCACAGCAGAGCACATGCCTTTATCCTTCCATGTTTTCTGTAATGTTCCAAATGTAAAGTGATCATAAATATTTGCATTCTTTCTCACCCATGAGAAAAATTACATGTGAAAAAGGCATTTAATGGAAGCACCCATAGGTATAAGTTGTAAATTTTCATGTAGAGTGCATCAGATTTACTTAACATCAATTCATGTGAGCTAGAGGGTTATTTTATACATTTAGTTTGAACTTCTCATAAAGATGCTGGGTTTTTTTTTAAGTCACAATGCTGTTAACATGAGAGGCTTGTGGAATTGAGACCAGCTGAGAGTCACAGACACACTGTGGGCATCACTTCCACTGTTAAAGCAGCTATGTCCCCTTTCCAATTTTTTTCTTTGTGCATATAATTGAATTCATGTAAACTAAATGCAACTCCACATACATAATGCAAGTCTGCTACATTTATATGCTTTTATTATGTTGTAACTCATGTAATGCAAAGAAATAATTCAGATTGAATAAAAGGTGTAGTAGTTTAAACCTGGCACCATGGCTTTTACTCTGCTTTTTGCATTTCTCAATTTTGTGTACAAGGATTACCTTTACCAGTAAGGTGGTGCCACAGACCCACTCTGGAAAGGCTGAGCATTAAAGTGTGGTTGGTGGGGGGCAGGGGGGCAGTAGCACTGCTCACTCTCACTCTTTACCCTCCCTGGTCCCCTGTGACCACCAGCAAACTGCAGGATAGTCACCTAGCTGGAGCTGCATTCCACAGCAGAGCACATGCCTTTATCCTTCCATGTTTTCTGTAATGTTCCAAATGTAAAGTGATCATAAATATTTGCATTCTTTCTCACCCATGAGAAAAATTACATGTGAAAAAGGCATTTAATGGAAGCACCCATAGGTATAAGTTGTAAATTTTCATGTAGAGTGCATCAGATTTACTTAACATCAATTCATGTAGCTAGAGGGTTATTTTATACATTTAGTTTGAACTTCTCATAAAGATGCTGGGTTTTTTTTTTAAGTGAAGCATTTATTGTTAATTTCTCACTTCTGTGTGATCCGTTTATTTTTCCTTAAACCTAATATTAATATTTTTTCTGGTATAAGCCCTTGTATAGCATTTCAGATTCTTTCCTTTTTGTGAGTTCTCATTTATTGAGTTCTGAAACTGTTCCTAAAACACTGATTTCTCAAACCTCCCAACTGTAAAAATACTGAAGTGTCTGTTTCAGCAAAATATTTATGGTCTTTGTAAAGGAATGAAGATTTTTTTTCAAAAACACCTCTCTGCTCTCTTTTTGCATTCAGAAATTGAGTGTATTAAAGAGAATTATCTTAATTATCACTCAGTTTAGGGTTTTCAAGAAATCGTCTTTAAAGGAGTGCTGGGATTTTACTACAATAGAAATACAGTTTGTCTACCAGGAGGGGCACCTCTTAAGTACAAGTTTCTTCAGACTTTGATGAGTGAGAATGCATAGGAGGGCCTGATGGTGAGATTACATCAGATTGGCTAGCAGACTGGTAAAAATAGTGTTTTGTGTTTTTTTTGCCCTTTATAATGTTAATTTTTTTTCCCTTATAATGTTAATTTTTTTTCTGTTGATAAAGGTAATGTGCTGTTTGGAATTTTACAATGAAAATGCATTCATAAATTACCTGTGTGATGTGGAAAAAAATTAAAGTAGTTTATTAATTTTAGAGATTTAGAAATCAACCCCTCCTCCTCCCATAAAAGAGAGGAAAATAATAGTCATTGATCCTCCCATTGAAAAAAAACTTCTTTTAATACTTTGGTGTGTACTTGCCCTCAGACTTTTTCGTTGTGTTTGTACATACATATACATGTGATTTGGTTATAGAATTCATACAGTTTTGAATCCTCTTTTGACTTAATATTTATTGGATTATAATTATAAAAGTTTTCAAATCTTATGAAAGATCCAGTTAGAATCACAGATTAAAGCTCTTCCCAGCCATCCATTTTGCAATTTTGAAATTCAGGAACAAGGGGAAATCATGTAAGCTGAGCATAAAATTGTTGGAAATGTATAGGTTTCTGTTGGTATGTCTGGTGAAAAATATTTTAATAGTATTTGTCCTTAAATAGCAGAGAGAGAAAAAAGGAAAGATGAATTACTGGATATCGCAAAGTCAAAGCAAGAACGTACAAACACAGAACTGCATAATCTGAGACAGGTATGTCCCGAACTGTACTTCTCTTCCTAGTAAGTGGGAAATATTTGTAAACAAGCATCAAATTAGGAAAAGTATATATCTGTTGATTTTATTTATGGCAGCTTTGAAATACTACATTAAAGGTTTACCATATTTAGCATAGCAAATAGGGTCTTGCTTGTGGTGAAGTTCAGGAGACTGGTTACGCTAACAAATCTCAGTGCTAACAGGGAAAATAAAAGTAAACTTACTTAGCATATTGCTCTAGCCCCTATCTCATCTGACTTTTAGTGTTTGAAAGTACCAAATTGTTGGCTCAGTTTAGTTTTGCTGTTATGTTTTATATTGATCTATCAATATCTATGGCAGATTTATGTAAAACAACAGAGTGATCTACAGTTTCTTAATTTCAATGTGGTAGAAAATTCTCAGGAATTAATACAGATACATGACTCAAAGATGGAGGAATCGAAGGCTCTGGGATCCAGGTAATCTTAGTGGATATGATTTTGTATTTTTTCATCACTCAATATTTATTAAGTACTTGCTATAGGCTGTTATCTACTGCTATTCTTCATATAGCAGGGAAAAAGTATATGTAAGCAGTAATTATCATTATAATCCTGGGTTATAATGAGATCTGATCTTAGAATTTTAGGCATGATCCTGGTTTAGTCAGGATCTTTACTGTTCAGAAAACTTCATTGTACATTGTTTGTTTGTTGTGTAGAAGGCTTTGAGCTAAAGTGGAAACTACAGAGATGAATCATTTTTTCATTCATTTAGTACTCAGTGTGTCAGGCACTGGGCTAGGAATAGGGAAAATAAAGATATATAGTACCTGTTACTTGCCTAAAAGAAATAATGCCAAAGAATGGAATGAATAACTACTAGGAGTTCAGCTAGCTGAGGGTGTAATCTCTGCTCTTAGCCTGATTTTCCTGTTTTCCTTTTTAATAGGAGACATCTCCTACTATAACAAGCCATGTGTGAATTAAATTGGTTTCTGTAAAATTATAAACATATGAGGTATGACTTAATTTAACAGGCATATAACTGTTGAACAGTTAACTTTAGTTTACCTTTCCAAGCAAAAATGTTAACAAGGAGTCATGAGAAGGAAGAGAAATTAGGAAAGTTGCTCATAATGCTGGCTAACCCTGTAACCCCGTAACCGTGTAAGGACACAGGCCACGCCACAGGACGGCAGCCGCTGTATATTAATACAATTAATATTTGGGTGTAAGGAGCAGCTATTGCTACAGACAGTATGATGGACATGGCCACTTTGCTGCGCTTGCTGTAGCGCTCTCTGTACTTTTCTTTGTGGCCTGTGCTGGGTTGTTACATTATCGCTTTGTATCCCAGCTGCTGCTACTGCTAACGAACTCCAAAGTGACCTGAGTTCTCTCCAGGCAGAAACCCCTAACATATCACCTCTTTTTCCTTTTTGTACTTCATTGCCCCTGGAAGGGGTGGAGGTGAGGTGAGTGAGGTTTTTCTTTAAGAGCATAAAGTGATTTATCACTCTAGATGGAGGGGGCTGAGTTTTCTGAGGGATAAGAAATTTATAGATGAGAATAAACAATATATGTGAAGTGAAAAACTGCAAAAAATTATTTATTAGAAGGCTTGGCTTATCACGCTTATTAGTATTCTGAATTTTTATTTTATACACAAATGTCATTTTTACTTTAGACCACCTTTCAGTATATAGCTATTTAAGCACCCAGCAAATGAATGGGATGGTCATGAATGCAGTTTGGTAAACACGTTTGACACTTTCCACTTTACCTTTTTACTGTGATTTCCATGCCTTTCAGTCCTGGCTTTATCTGTTCCTGTGAAACTGAAAGAATTAGAAAGGGAAATAATAGATCAATTAACAAGAATTACAAAATAGTTAATATGTGTCCTAAGTGCCAAGAGGATTAAAAATGCCTCTACATGTTAAAAAACTTAAAAGTCTACTGAGAAGACAGAATATATGCATGAGACAGTTAGTGAGCCATATAGTTATAAAAGGAAACTTGCTGTATGATTAATTAGATAATCTGTAGTTAGATGATGGCTGGCACTAAGGCAGCAAGTAAAGCGGGAGCTGAGGATGAGAGGGGGATGTGAGTGTGTGGGCTTGAAAGACTTCCTTGAAAAGGTCAGGCCGAAATTGGTCTCTGAAGAAAGAATAAATAAATATCCTGCCTTGTATTTTCATTTCAGACAAATGTGTCTTTAACTCATGTAATGAGGTTTGGATAATAAATATTTAGAATGACACTATCAAGTGTATTTTATAACTTCTGTTTTTTGTAATGCCACCATAGCAGAGACTTGTGTTTATCAGACCTTGAAAATAACTACCCAAAAGTCGATATTAAGAGGGAGAAAAATCAGAAGTCACTGGTTAAGGACCAAAAATTTGAGACCACGTTGGTTCAGCAAAGTAGGTCAGACGAGAGCTCTTGTGATATGTGCAAAGAGAAGAAACTACAGGTCAATACTTCATTTGGGGGAAAAAGTGTAATTGCTGTTTCATCTCTATTTGCAAAAGACTTAGTGGAGAAACAAAAGTCTTGGACTCTGGGAGGAAAAATCCAGACTGAACTCGAAAACCAAAGTACATTGTGCAAGATCAATGCAAAATCACCACAAGGTAATAGAATTGGGATTCAGAATGAAGAGAAACAATTCTCAGAAATAACATCTTTATCGGATGAAAAACAGTGGCATGACGTCAATGTTTACTTGGGCCTGGCCAACTGTTCTGGTTTAAAACAACCAGAAAAGCTGGATTTTGAATGTCAAGATCACATGGAAAGATCTGGAGCCTCATGTTCTCATAGAAATGAAGCCTGTCTAGGTGAAAGTGACATGTATGAATCCAAGTGCTGCCATCCAAGTAACTTCATAATTGAAGCCCCAGGCCACATGTCTGACATGGAGTGGATGAGTATTTTCAAGCCTTCTAAAGTGCAAAGAATTGTTCGCCACAAATCCGTATGCACTTGTTCAGAAAGTGGCAGTGGAACAAAATATAACTCTTCAGCAAGGTTAGTAATGTTTCACATTTGTAAACCCAGGGAGGCGACGCACTGTGTGTAGAAATACACAGCCACTTCACACTGACTGTTAAATGGAAAGCAGTGTTTGCAAACAAATCTAATTTAAGACAGACTGTTTACCCTTTTCATCACAGCATAGGCTGTTGAGTATTTGTATAAAGAAAAACTCTATTAGATTCCAGTGAAAAGTGTACCTAGGACAGCTTTTGAGGCAAAGGTTGTCATGAGTTGGCTTTAAAGTAAACAGGTGAGTCATTTTATAGAATAGAATGCTGCTCTGGGGCATTCCTTACCCTAGGAGGTTTAAAATTGATAATCTAGCTGTCTCGTGTCCAGACTGCATCCCCTAGACTGGGACAAGAGTTTCTGTTCATGGGCATATTTACATATCCAACTGCTTTCTGCCTTTGTGTTCACTTTGCATTTCTCAGACGTTTATTCTTTTTATAATCATACAAGAGAAAGAATATTTGTATTTAACAACATGGTAAAAGTTACTGGCTTTTTTAAGAGAAGAAAATGGATCAGTTATTAGCATATGCTGCATTATTCAGGCTCATCTTACTGTTTAGATTTGCTGAATCTTGTGGTTGAGGGGTGCTATTATAATGCCTGCTACTTTTAAATAAATCCTAGCTCTTACATAAAGGACAGATTTCCTATATTGAGAGCCTTATTTAAATCACCATGTTGACTTCCACAGGACTTTATAATTAAAAGTTCTTTCTGGTAGTTTTATTATTTGGATTATTCTTTGCCCTTTTAGAAGCCTGAGTCACTTAAAAATCATGCAGGTCATTATTCTGTCAGTTGCAGAATTTAAAAAAAAAGTGGTTGCCACACTGAATGTCATTTATTCATATTTGGTTTTAAAGATTTTCTCCAGCTAGATAGACAGTCATGGCAATGGAGGCGGGGGTGGTGAGGACTTGATAATATGGGTGAATGTTGAAACCACAATGTTGTTCATATGAAACCTTCATAAGATTGTATATCAGTGATACTTTAATTTTAAAAAAAAGATTTTCTCTAGCTAATTGCAAGTGCCAGTATGGCCCAACTGCGTGTTGTCACTGCTGAACAAGAACACACACATATGTTAAGAGAAAAGCTTGCTTTAGATAGTTTTAAGAGCATATGGACATATATTAAATTTAATATATGAAGGAAATCCAAATTTAAATTTGGAATTTTCTTTCAAGACCCGTTTGACCTCCCTGGCTTGAGATAATTGAAGTGACTTCTTGTTCCTCCAGCAGAGGCACATGCCAACACATCTCATGACAAATGCATGATTAAGTAAAAAAGATAATTACCTTTTTCTTATTTTTCCTTAGATTATAAGAACTTGTGTGCCTACTTTATTATCTGACTAAGACATCCACATTTGTACCACATTCCATTTAACAGAGGTTTACCTGTGGAGGGAGAGGCCACGGGTAACTGCTCTAACCTAGCTGCAAGTTGCAGGGAGGCAGAGGTTCCGGTGCCTCTGGTCTGTTCTAGAGCAGCTTTGAGCCCAAACCTTAATACCATACACAGAAGCCTAGCTATATGTGTCTGTTCGCTAAGACTGAGAACTAGAGAACTAATAGCCCCTACAGTGCCATCTGCCTCACAAAGGACATTTAAAACCATTAATAAAGGTCAATCTCATAAACCAAAATCCTAAAATTTTCACAAATTTCACTTTATACTGTGTTAACTTTTTTCCCTCCCTTTTGGGTTATCCTGTCCCTTGAACCTTATTTTCTTTTTTGGGGGGTGAGGGGCAGAGAGGGGGTTCTCTATTCTAGTTACCCTTTAGGAACTTTATTTTACTTCTTACTGCAAAAGGTATGCATTAATTTATAATATTCTATTCAGATATTCTATTCAAATCTGTAATGTTCTGTTAAAACTTGAGCTTCTTCATTAAAAAAAGAAAGACTTTTTTCTTGTCCTGTTCAGATACTTTTTTTTTTTTGGTATCATTAATGTACAATTACTTGAACAACATTATGGTTACTAGACTCCCCCTATTATCAAGTCCCCCCCCACATACCCCATTACAGTCACTGTCCATCAGCATAGTAAGATGCTATAGAATCATTACTTGTCTTCTCTGTATATACTGCCTTCCCCATGTCCCCTCTCCCACTACATATGTATGCTAATCGTAATGCCCCTTTTCCCCCCTTGTTCCTCCCTTCCCACCCATCCTCCTCAGACCCTTTCCCTTTGGTAACTGTTAGTCCATTCTTGGGTTCTGTGAGTCTGCTGCTGTTTTGTTGTTCAGATACTTTTTTAAGTAAAAGCATATTGGTGCTGTGTGTTTGATACTGTTCTAAGATGTCTGTTTTTGTTTGATTGTATTACAATACACAGTGAGCTGGTTGCCATCCAGCACTCCCACTGTTTGGGTTCTTCAGAATCTGCCCTAAGA